AAAATTTAAAGGTAGCCTTGAAAGGCCTCAAACGGTTCAAAGATGCCCAAATCATATCCCAAATCACTTACTACCCAACACTTCGTTTCATAAATGTCCTAAGGTGAGATTTAAAACCGAACAAAGCATGATTGAGCACAAATAAATTCCAAATTTAAAATGCAAAACATTCAACCAAAGCAATGCACAAGGTATGATTCCTAGCAATAATTCACTTCTACGTTCCGTTGAATCGAAAGCTAAACAAATATCTACTCCTTAAAGCATAAAACAAGTAATCTCATCATCAAACATTGACCATCTCCCATCATCATAATTCATCGATGCATCAAACCAAATTTTTTTTTTTTTTTTTTTTTTTTTCAAAGCAAATAAAAAAAAAACGGAAAAATTAAAACACGCAAAAGAAGCATGCAAACTAAAAAAAAATTAAAACACAAATAAAGCGCACATAAACGAAAACAAGTAATTAACCACCCCCAAACATAAAATTCACATTGCCCTCAATGTGATTCGCCCGGAGTTTAAGGATAGAAAACACCTGTTTAAGCGTCGGGACCATCGTCGGGTTGCTCACCAACTCCACCATGTGCATGAGCATTATCCTCCTCGTCATCCTCCAATAGCTCGGGTACCGGCTCAAGAATCGGTGCGGGAAAATCGTCGAACACCTTGTGGGCGTTCTTGGTGGAATGGGTTTTTTTCGAGAAAATTGCACCGTTCTTGAATCTCCCTGCGCAAATCAACAACAAACCACCTTGATTACATAGTATATGTGTGTAGTTGGTAAATTTTCGGTGAAATTTGTCAAAGAAAAGGGAAAATTTCGAAAAAGGAAGGCGAGGGTTCGAATTGGGGGAGAGAGGGAATTTGAGAATTATGGAAATTGCTTTTTTTTTTTTTTTTTTTTTTTTTTTTTTTTTATCCCCCACGGCCGTGCGAAAGTATGGCCTAAAATCCGCACGGCCGTGCCATTTGGTGAATTTGGGCAGTAGCCCTTCTTAATTTAGGACGGCCGTGCGGAATTATGGCCTAAAATCCGCACGGCCGTGCCATTTGGTGAATTTGGGCAGTAGCTTCCCCGAAATCTCACACGGCCGTGTGAGATTTCTGCCTCTTTCTTGCACGGCCGTGTGAATAATTGCAATTGGGTCCCTGAAAAATAAAAACTTCTAATTAGTGCCCAGAAACCCTTTTTTTTTTTTTTTTTTTTGAAAAATAAAATAAAATGAAAGCAAAACTAAAAATTTAAAATAACATAAAATAAGAAAAACGAAAGCTCGGGTTGCCTCCCGAGAAGCGCTAAGTTTACAGTCTTCAGCCAGACTTTGTTCTTGCTCTTCAATTCCTTAGCTTTTGAACCCATCTCCTTACTTCCTTTTGGAGAAAGTCTTGAATAAATGGGTTGATCCGATTCTTCTTTCGACTGGTTCGTTTAGGAATGCCCTTGAATTTATTCTTCTTGATGTCATGAGGCTTGCCAACATCGTCTTTTATCACGGTGTTTTGAGTAGGTGTTGTAACCAACTCAACCCTTTTCTTTTGTTCTCCTACATGCACATTAGTATCCACAAAAAAATTTAAATCATGTAATTTAACAGGAAAAAGTTTAGAATCACTTACCTCATCAAGAAGATAACATCCATTAGCCGTAATAGGCTTTTCATCCACCCGGTACACCTTGAAGATCACTGTTTCTTCCCCCACACTCATTCTTAGCTCTCTCTTTCCTACG